GGTCATGTGAGAACTCTGACTCCTGCGACCAGGGCTGCTGACCCTGGGCTGATGTTCCTCCTCCCCCTGGGACGTGAGCTGAGAGGGAGATAGCCCACCACCCTGTCTACATGGCCATTCTGTAGCTTACCCTCTGTCCACCTGGTGATCACTGCTTACCTCCATACACCTCCACACTGAGAAACACAATCTGTCTCCACCAGATTATGTCCAAATTCTAACCTGACGTTGCATTTCTTTCTAGCAGAACCGCTGTCCAAATGTCCGCATCACTGATCTGAGATCCTGCATGATGTGTCCTAAGAGCCACCATCCTGGTTTTTGTTCAGGGACAGGTGTGGGCCATGGGACCATGAGCATAGGTTCCACATCCTACATATTTCAGGTTTGCCCTAAAGACACAGCTGACGGGACACACAGCCCTGAGTCCATCTGCTGTGGACATTTCCCCAGTAGACTTTCCAGACTAAGAATCCTGTGCTTTCTACTGAGGACTCTGATTCCTGAAAGACTCACAGTCACAGAGAGAACCATTCACCAACGCACAGCACAGAGTCAGACAGGTCAGCCCAAAATGCACCCAGGATTCTTTTTCCCCTCCCCAGTCCCCCATCCTCGCTGCCCCTATTCCTAGTCCTCCTCCCTTCCTCATATTTCTCTTCCTTTCTCTCTACTTCCTCTACTTGGGAGCACTGTCTGCCTCTCTGTAGTTCACACGTCTGCTTCCCAGTGACCCACACAGACACCCACTGTACCCCAACATTGGTCCACGGGCTCTAGGGTCACACTCTGTTCTCAGTTTATCTTGTGAACACTGTGCAGGGGAAACAGTGTCAGAGGTGACTTTTATCTCCTGAACAGGAGCCTCCTGCACTTTTAATTCTTCCTCTGGTCGTGAGGGTTGATTCACTTTTGTGTGTTCATTTCTGGTGCCTGTCAGAGGCTCTCATTTATATCTTTTCCTCTAATTTCTTACGTGACCACTTGTGATTTCCCCACAGGGTCCACCCACTGTCATTGCAATGAGGTCTGGTTCCCTCCTCATATGTGAATATCCACAACATCACAGCTCACTCTCCCCAGTAGACCTGAATAGACATTTCTCCAAAGAGGACATACAGACAGCCATGAGACATATGAAACAATACTCAGCACTATTAATTATCATAAAGATGCAAATTAAAACTACAACTAGACTTGCTTTGGCTGGTTTGGCTCAGCAGTTGGAGCGTCAGCCTGTGGATGAGGAAGTCCCGGGTTTGGTTCCCTTTAGGGGCACTTACCAAAAAAATAAATAAATAAAACATAAAAACTACAAGTACACCTGCCAGAATGGCTCCTATCAATAAATCAACAAACAACAAGTGATGGTGAGGATGTGGGGGAAGGAGGACCCTTGTGCGCTATTGGTGGGAATGCAGATTGGTGCAGCCACAGTGAAAACAGTATAGAGTTTCCTCAAAAAAATAAAAATAGAACCGTTCAGACTGACAAACACCAGAGGAGGGATGGGAGAAGGACAGATGAGATAAACCAAAGAACTTATATACATATAGGCATAACTAATAGACATAGACAATACTAGGAGGAGGGTTGGGGTAGAGAGGAGAGTATATAGGGAGGAAAAGAAGAAACATCTGTAACAAGAATAAATTAATTAATAAAAATGTAAATATAAAAATAGAACTGCTTTTTGACCAGAGAACCCACCTCTGGTAATATATTCCAATTATCCCAAAACACGATTTGGAAAGAATATATGCACTCCCATGTTTATAGCAGCATTATTTACAATATCCATGATCTGGAAACCACCCAGTTGACAATGTAGATGAGTGGATAAAAACTGTGGTACATTTACACAATGGAATACTATGCAGCTGTGAAAAAGAAGAAACTCTTACTCTTTGCAATATATGGATAAACATGTAGATTATTATGCTAAGCAAAATATTACAGTCAGAGAAATACAAATACCCTGTGATCTCATGCATATATAGAATCTAATAAAAAAAATAAACTGACAAACAGAATACAACCAGAGACATGGATACATATGAATGACAGAGGTCAGAGGGTGGGGTGTTGGGAGAAGAGTAGATAAAGGAAGGGGAAGAGAGGACCCAGGAAACATATATGCAGAGCCCATGGACACAGACCGAGTGGCAGGGCTGGGTGGATGTGGGCAAAGCGGGAGGAATAAGGGAAAACCATAACAGTCTCAACAATTTGAAAAAAAAAAAATGTCTCTTGTCAAGAAAGACAACATTCTTATGGGAAAAAGACAGAGATTCTCTTTCAAACAATCTTGTGACCAAATGACTATTCATCATGAAATCTACTGACCCACCTCAGCAGAATCCAACCAGAGGCTCTGCTGACTCAACAGTGCAGCTCAGCTCCACAGCTCAGGGTCCCAGCCACCAGCAGCAGGACACATGTGTGTGGACAGTGAGCACCAGAGGTGTGTGACCCCAAAGCTAGAGAAGAAGGACTCGTGGGGTGATGGTCACTGATGTGGCACCATGCTCACAGCACTGAGAGCAGTTGACACCAGGCAGAGGCAGAGGGACCCACGACAGCTTGTGCAGATGTCCAGGCTGAGGACAAGCACACACAGGGGACATGTATCATGTACACAGTTGGAATCTCTGGGAAGCACAGGAAAGGCCCTTCAGCAAGTCGGAGGAGCTTTGACCAGGAAAGGAGACAGGCTCAGGGCTTTTATTCTGGTGAAATCGGGTGGGGGGGATTCTCCTTCCAGGGGTTTGTGAGGTACAATCTCCCAATGACATCTACAGAGGGCAGACCAAACCGTTCTCATCAGATCCCAGTGTGGGGCAGATGGAGAAGAGGAAAGAATGAGCCCTCATTTGTCAGCACTAAAAATATAAAAATGAAATAGTCTGACTGGATATTTTACTTAGCAAATATAATAAATGACCAAAAAATGAGAAAAGGTGTCATTGTTTTGGACAGCAACCATGACTACAGATAATAAGAACAATTTTAAATAAACAAATGGTGATGATGGTGATGACGATGGACTGAGACAGGGTCCTGGTCAATGACATGAGGGCCCCTCACACAGACACACCATCACCATGGCTCCTGCAGGGAGGGGTGTCCAACCTCCCCTGTAAGTGTTGAGGGATTTCATAAACAAAGCCCAATGAATTTGCAGCTTGGGTGAAGCATGTAGTGACCATGTGAGTGATGACCCCATGCCCGAGTGCTAAACCCTGGACCTGGGAAGTTGTCACCTCACAGACAGTGACACTGTGAGCAGGTGCATGTGGGTAACAGGAATCCCTCCCCCCCTTTGCAATGACACGTTCCTTATTTCCCTTGATCCCTGCCTGCAGAACCTTTAACATTTCTATTCTAACAAACTCCTGGTCATAATCACTCAGGTGTTTCCTATGATGACAGAAGCTGTGTATATCATGCCCTGCACACCCTCTTGGGTCATCACTGGAAGAGGTTTAAACCCACAAGTCCAGTAACACTCTGTCCATGAACATCAGGCACATTTCTGTCCTGTGACTCAGAACACGTCCAGCTTCCTCCCCTCACTCAGGTCAAAGTCCCGTCCAGTTCTGGGCAGTTTCCCAGCAGCCCTCACTCCTGGTGCCAGAACCTCTCTGTCCCTGTGGCTGCTGCAGCCGATGCCCCTGGACCATGAGGCTCAGCACATTCTGGGCGTCTGTGTGATTCACCAAAACAGGCCCAGCACAGAAAACAGAGGTGAATTAGATTTTAATTAAATACATTTGTCCCACCAACTATTGCATTTAGGAATTGAAGTGACAGGCCTACACACAGAATCCATTTCTGAATAATGTCTGTGATGGGAGAATGTGTTAACTACACACTGAAGACGTTATATGTTCTGTGGGAGAGCCCAGCACCTCTGAGCACAGTGACCATCCCCAGGGGCAGAGGGAGTCTGTGAGTGGGAGATTTTTGTCAGGTTTGAAGTTCCCTTTCTATGAGAAAATCTACAAAGTAATTCTCTTCACTAACCTCCTTCTGATCCCTGACATCACTGATAACACTAGACAGAAAACAGGACAATCTCCTGCGATAATCATCTCAGCCTATGAATGATTCTGAGTTGTACACAGGCATAATATGTTTACATTTCTTGTCTTTTCTCCATGTAAAGTCATGATTATGTCTCATGTGACTAGTTCGGGGTCTCTGCAATAGGCCATGGGGTGCATAATGCAAGAGTTTGCACAGGAAGCTGGAGACACAGAAAATTTCCAACAACAATAATTAAGAATGTCTGAGCTGCCTGTGTTTGGAAGGTAGTTTCTCAGATCAAAGCAACGCCATAAATTGAGATATTAGTGCCTGGCTGGTGTAGGTCAGAGAACTGAGCATTGCCCCATGGTCTGAAAGGACCAGGTTTGGTTCCTGGTCAGGGCACATGGCTGGGTTGTGGGCTCCGTCCCCAGTAGGGGGCGTGCAGGAGGCAGCAGATGGATGTTTCTCACATAGAAGTTTCTACCTGTACTGCATTTCTGTTATCTCTAAAAATCAATAAAAATATATTTAAATAAAATTGATATATAAGACATTGAGCATGGATGTCCTTTATTTTTATTTTTGCACAAAACTAGACATTATTAGTATGACATTATAACAGAAAATTTTGGAAATAGTGAATATACCAGAATGTTGGGGTTCAGAAATTATCTAAACAATTTATTATCACTTTTAAATTGGATTGAAAGATGCTTGGGGAGTGAAAAGTGTAACCTACCAAACTTGTCCATCACGTTTTCTTTCCTTGAGAATAGTGAGGCTGACATTTTACCCTGTTGCAATGACTTCTGAACTTGGGGATTCTATTTCCCTGACTCACATGCTGAGTCAGTTCAAGGGAAGAGATGTCCTCACAGGCGACCCAGAAAGACCAGGGCAGCCTAACCTCAGTCCTCCACTTATAAGGAACAGGCTGCCCCACATGCAAATTTCTCCCCAAGCTCCAGGGTAAATCCTCCCCTGGGCTGGGGAGGCTCACAGCTCTCTCCTCACACAGGGCTGAGGTCTCTGGGGAAGGCAGAGCCCTGGTCTAGAAGAAGATGAGACTGCTGGGTCTTCTCCTGTGCCTGGTGACAGCCCCCCAAGGTGAGGGTCTCAGAGGTTAGACAGGGGTCTGTGGGGTGGTTGTGACTGACAGGGCCTGATGCTCCTTGTCCCCAGGTGTCCTGTCCCAGCTGCAGCTGCAGGATTCAGGTCCAAAATTGGTGAAGCCCTCACAGACCCTCTCCCTCACCTGCACTGTCTCTGGATTCTCCATCACCAGTGGTTCCTGCTGGGATTGGATCCGCCAGAAACCAGGGAAGGGGCTGGAGTGGATCGGGTGGATATGTCATAATGGAAACACTTACTACAGCCCGTCCCTCAGCAGCCGCATCTCTATCTCTAGAGACACAGCCAAGAACCATTTCTCCATGCAGCTGAGCTCTGTGACCAACGAGGACACAGCCCTGTACTACTGTGCGAGAGACACAGTGAGGGGATGTCAGTGTGAGCCCAGACACAAACCTCCTGAGGGGGACAGGAGGGCGGGGCTGCAGTGCACGCTCAGGACACCAGGGGGCGCTCAGGGTCCCTGAACACAAGGAGCAGGTGCAGTTGGAGGTTTGGGCTGGTTTCCTGTGTGGTTTCCTCTTCATGTCACAGTTTCCCTCAGGGAACCTCTCTGGATACTTGATTCAGTGTTTACTTCTGATATCTCAAAAGTCTGTTGTCCATTTGCCAATGGTACATTTGATAAGGGATTAAATTCCAAAGCATATGAAAACCGTATACAACTAAAAAGCAAGAAGACAAATCTCTTAAAAAATGGGACAATGCCCTGAATAGACACTTCTCCAAAGAGGACACACAGAGGCCAGGAGACATAGCAAACAATGCTCAGCATCAGTGATCATCAGAGAGATGCCAATCACACTACAACTACAGCTGCCAGAACGGCTCCCGTCAATAAACCAACGGACAACAAGTGCTGTGAGGATGTGGGGAAAGGAGCCCTGGTGCCTGTGGGTAGGATGCAGAGTGATGCAGCCGCTGTGGGGAACAGTGTGGAGGCTTCTCAAAAAATTAAAAATGGAACTGCTTTTTGACCCAGTGATCTCACTTCTGGGAATATATCCTCATTGTCCCTAAGAACAAATCAGAAAGAATATGTGCACCCCTATGTTTATAGCAGCATTATTTACAATATCCATGATCTAGAAACAGCCCAGCTGCACATGTGGATGAGTGGATAATAAACGGTGCTGCATTTACATAATGAAATACTATGCAGCTATAAAAAAGAAGGAACTCTTATTCTTTGCAACAATACCCATGGACCTGTAGATTATTATGCTAAGCAAAATCAGTCAGTCAGAGAAATACAAATATCCTGTGATCTTCTTTATATACAGAATCTAATGGACAAAATAAACTGAGGATTAAAATGGAACATAGAACAGACTGACAGAGGACAGGATCTGGACTAGGGAAGAGTGGATACAAGAAGGTGAAGAGAGGACCCAGGGAACATATGTGCAGAGCCCATGTGCACAGACACAGTGGTAGGGCCAGGGGAGTGTGGGAGAGAGCTGGCTGAATGTGGGCAAAGTGGGGAAAGTGGGGGACCTAGTAATAGTGTCTACAGTAAAAAATAAAGAAATGTCTCTTGTCAAGAAAGACAACTTTCTTATAGGAACAAGGCAGCGATTCTCTTTCAAACACTCTTGTGTACAAATGACAATTAATCATGAAATCTATTGACCCACATCAGCTGAATCCAACCAGAGGCTCTGCTGACCCAACAGTGCAGCTCAGCTCCCACAGCTCAGGGTCCCAGCCACCAGCAGCAGGACACATGTGTGCTGGACAGTGGTCACCAGTGGTGTGTGACCCCAAAGCTACAGAAGAAGAACTTGTGGGGGTGAAGGTCATTGACTTGGCATCATGCTCACAGCACCCAGAGCCGTTGACACCAGGCAGAGGCAGAGGGACCCACGACAGCTTGTGCAGATGTCCAGGCTGAGGACAAACACACACAGGGGACATGGAACGTGCATCATGTACACAGTTGGAATCTTTGGGAAGCACGGGAGAAACCCTTCAGCAAGTCAGGGCAGTTTCCCAGCAGCCCTCACTCCTGGTGCCAGAGCCTCTCTGTCCCTGTGTCTGCTGCAGCTGCTGACCCTGGACCATGGACTCAGCACATCCTGGGGTCTGTGTGATTCAGCAAAACAGACCTAGTACAGAAAATAGGGGTGAATTAGACTTTATTGAATTAAATACATTTATCCCACCAAAGATTCCATTAAGGGAATGAAAAGTCAAGCAATAGAGAGAGAGAACATTTCCAAATTATGTCTGTTGGGAAAATGTGTTCATTATACATTAAGGATGTTATATGTTCTGTGGTGGATCCCGGCACCTCTGGGAGTGTGTCCTAAGAGTGAGGGTTCCTGTCAGGGATGAAGGTCCCTCTCCTGTGAGCACATCTGTGCTGGGAACCTCCATAATTGGCCTTCCTCTGACCCCAACATCACTGAGAATATTTGACTGAGAGAACAGGTCAGTTAATCTGCTGCCTTTACAATTTTCACATATGAAGGATTCTGAATTGTACACATGAATAATTACTCTTTTATTCTCAATCATTTCTCCATGTAAAATATGAATATGTCTGATATAATTTGTTGGGGTCTCTGCAATAAGCCATGGGCTTGCATAAGGGAAGAGTTTCAGGAGGGACAAAGGCACAATTACCAAATTTTCAACATCAAGAATCAGGATCTCCTATCCAAGTACTCACCACTACTGACACTACTTAGCTCTGAAACTGTTTGGCAAATATTGCAAGAAAAAGGTTTCTAGCATTAACCTAAACAAAGGCATGTAGCACAGTGTTACTCAGAATTTGTAAGCATTACCATTTTAACAAATAAAAAAGAATCAAGGCTATCTCAATGACATGTTCCTGGGATATAGTTCCTTGGATCAAAGTTACAACAAAAAGAAATAAGATACTGAGAATGAATCTTCTTTATTTTATGATTTTTCATACCAACCTAGATATTATTTGGCTATGTAAAATTATGTTTATAAAAATGTATTTTTTATAAAAATATTTGACAGTTCAGTAGATACTAGAGAGGTGCATTCAAGAAATTACCTAAACAAATTTAATCCTTTTAAATCTATTTGAAAGATGCATGAGAAATTAAAAATGTAATCTACTCAACTAATCCACCACTTATCAGAAATGCGCACGGGACCATTAATCTGACTCCAGTATATCCTGTGTACCAGGAGTTCCCCAGTAACTGATGAATGTACTACGTGTATTCAAGAAAAGGGAAGCCTACACATTAGCAACAGAAGGCCCAGGGCAGCCTGACCTCAGTCCTCCACTTATAAGGAACAGGCTGCCCCACATGCAAATTTCTCCCCAAGCTCCAGGATAAATCCTCTCCTGGGCTGGGGAGGCTCACAGCTCTCTCCTCACACAGGGCTGAGGTCTCTGGGGAAGGCAGAGCCCCGGTCTAGAAGAAGATGAGACTGCTGGCACTTCTCCTTTGCCTGGTGACAGTCCCCCAAGGTAAGGGTCTCAGAGGTCAGAGGGGTCTATGAGGTGGTTGGAACTGCACGTGACTGACAGAGCCTGATGCTCCTTGTCCCCAGGTGTCCTGTCCCAGGTGCAGCTACAGGAGTCAGGCCCAGGACTGGTGAAGCCCTCGCAGACCCTCTCCCTCACCTGTACCATTTCTGGGGACAGTGTCTCTAGCAACAGTGCCACATGGAACTGGCTCAGGCAGCCCCCAGGGAGAGGTCTCCAGTGGCTAGGAAGGATATACTACAGTTTCATGTGGAATAGAGAGCATGTACCATCTCTCAGAGGTCAGTTAGCCATTAACGCAGACACGTCCAAAAACCAGTTCTCCCTGCAGCTGAGCTCTGTGACCACTGAGGACACGGCCGTGTATTACTGTGCGAGAGACACAGTGAGGGGAAGTCAGTGTGAGCCCAGACACAAACCTCCTGAGGGGGACAGCGGGGCTGGACTACAGGGCATGCTCAGGATACTAGGGGACATCCAGGGCACCAGGGGGCGCTCAGGACCACCAGCACAGGGCCCAGACCTGGAGCATGTGCAGAGTTAAGCAAAGATAAAATGTTGTGCTGTTAAATTAGTATTGCTTCAAGGCTCAGCAACAGAGCTCACAGAAAGCCCTTTCCTTTATCTACTTTCAGCGGTTGTATTTGTGAACAAAAAAGGGAGCTCTGTAGTAAATCTGACAAAATTCAGTGACTGAAAGTAACCTTGAAAAATGATCTGATCACACCCCACCCATAGAACTTCTTCCCTAAAAGGTTTACCTTTGCCATAAGCAAACCCACCCATTGTTCTTGTGTATCTAGGTTAACACACCCTTGGAATAAGCATGACCACCCTCAAGAGAGCAAACCTCCTTAACTATCCCGGAATCTCACCCCCGCCTCGCTTCCTCCACCTCCCGGTCATAATCTCCCTCACCTGCCCTCCTTCCTTCCAAATGCATAAAGGAAGCTGCAGACTGTGGTTCTCAGACCATTTGAGACCTTCCTCCCCAGTAATTGTCATTTTGGCTCAAATAAAATCTTACAGAAATTCTTTACACATGTGGATGATTCTTACATCAACATGTTTCTTCCGCGTGTGTAGAGGAAAATAAACACGATTATTCAAAACCTGCTACCTCAACAGGATGAATTACAGACTTTGCAAACACTGGAGAAAAAAATAAGTTTGCCTTTGGGTTGTCATTGACTTAAGTTTCCCTTTAGAAATGAGGTTTCTGCATCGATGCCCATTTCAACCTGTGGAACTTTTGCATGTACCTCTTAGGGTGTTGTTGTTGTTGTTGTTGTTGTTGTTGTTGTTGTTAATTGCATTTTGTTACAGATGTTTCTCCTTTTTCACTCCATTGACACCCTCCTCCAATCCCCCCTGCCCCATCCAGGATTTGTCCGTGTCCATTGGTTATGCGTACATGCATATAAGTTCTGTGTTTTATCTATATCCTCCCCTAATCAGCCCCTCTTCTGAGTGTTGTCAGTCTGTCCCCTACTTTCATGTTTCTGGGTCTACCCTATTCCTCAGACTGTTATGTTCATTATATTCCACAAATAAGTGAGATCATGTGATATTTGTCTTTCTCTGCTTAGCTTGTTTCACTTAGAATAATACTTTCCAGGTCCCTCCATGTCATCTCAAAGGATAAGAGACCTTTCTTTCTTGCAGTTGCATAGTACTCCATTGTGTATATGTACAACAGCTTTTTTTATCCATTCGTCTACTGATGGACACTTGGGCTATTTCCAGATCTTAGCTATTATAAATAGTGCTGCTATGAACATGGGGGTACATATATTCTTCTTGATTTGTGTTTCAGCTTCTTAGGGTATATCCCTAGAAGTGAGATCACAGGGTCAAATAGAAGTTCAATTTTTAATTTTTTGAGGTAACACCATATTGTTTTCCACAGTGGCTGCACCAGTCTGCATTCTCACCAGCAGTGTACTAGAGTCCCCTTTTCTCCACACCCTCGCCAACACTTGTTGTTTGATGATTTGTTGGTGGCGGCCATTCTGACAGGTGTGAGATGATACCTCATTGTTGGTTTAATTTGCATCTCTCTGATGATTAGTGATGATGAGCATTTCTTCATATGTCTCTTGGCCATTTATATGTCCTGCTTGGAGAGGTGTTCATTCAGCTCTTCTGCCCATTTATTATTGGGTTCTTTGTCTTCCTTTTGTTGAGTTGTATAAATACTCTATATATTTGGGAAATTAACCCCTTAACTGATGTATCATTGGCAATGATGTTCTACCATACATTGGTTGCCTTTCCATTTTGATGGTTGTTTATTTTGCAGTGCAGAAGCCTTTTAGTTTGATGTAGTCCCATGTGTTCATTTTCTCCTTTGTTTCTATTGCCTTAGGTGATGTATAAGTGGAAATTCTGCTGCGTATGATGTCTGAAATTTTGTTACCTACATTTTCTTCTAGAATTTTTATGGATTCATGGGTCACATTTAAGTCTTTCATCCATTTTGAGTTTATTTTTGTGTATGGTGTGAGTTGATGGTCTAGTTTCATTTTTTTGCATGTAGCTGTCCAATGTTTCCAACACCATTTATTAAAGAGGCTGTCTTTACTCCAGTGTATGCTCTTGCCTCCTTTGTCAAATAATTTCTGATTTTGTGTATTTGGGTTCTCTCTCTTTGTTTCTTGGTGAGTCTAACTATCGGTCCATCAATCTTGTTTTTTTCTTAAAACCAGCTCTTTGTTTCATTGATCCTTTGAATTGTTTTTTTGGTCTCCATGTCATTTATTTCTGCTCTGATCTTTACTATTTCCTTCCTTCTACTTACTCTGGGGATTTCTTTCTGTTTGCTTTTTAATTCTTTAAGTTGTGAGGTTAGACAGTCAATTAAAATTTTTTCTTGTTTCTTGAGGTAGGCCTGTAGTGCTATGAACTTCCCTCTCAGAACTGCTTTTCCTGCATCCCATAAATTTTATGTTGTTCTGTGTTCATTTTCATTGGTTTCCAGGAAGTTTTTTCCTTGATCTCCTTGGTAACGTATTCATTGTTTAATAACATGCTATTTAGCCTCCATGTGTACAAATGTCCTTGCATGTTTTTGTTGAAATTAAGTTCTAGTTTCATGCCATTGTGATCTGAAAAGATGCTTGATATGATTTCAGTCTTCTTGAACTTGTAGAGATTTAGTTTGTGTCCTATCATGTGGTCTATCTTTGAGAATGTCCCATGTGCACTTGAGAAGAATGTGAATTCTGCAGTTTTGGGGTGTAATTCTCTGTAGATATTCTATTAAATCCATTTGGTCTAGTGCTTCATTTAGAGTCTTTGTTTCCTTGTTAATTTTTTGCCTAGAGGATCTATCCAGTGGTGCCAGTGGGGTGTTGAAGTCCCCTGCTATGATTGTATTGCTGTCGATTTCTCCTTTGAAGTCCTCCAGAAGATTTTTAATATATTTTGGTGTTTCTATATTGGGTGCATATATGTTTATGAAGGTTATATTTTCCTATTGGATAGATCCTTTCAATATTATCTTGTGGCCTTCTTTGTCTCTAGTTATGGCCTTTATTTTGAAATCTACTTTATCAGATATGAGTATTGCTACCCAGCTTTTTTTTCCTTTCCGTTTGATTGGAAGATTTTTTTCCATCCCTTCACTTTCAAC